GATAACTTTGCTGACTTTTGACCTCACTTCTTTCCTGATGCTCATTCCTGAACTGACGTCAGCTGTCGCAATGCCTTCTGTGACTGTCATCGGCGGGCTAACATGTGAGGGCTTGCCTTCTGCGAATCCCTCGGGCCCATTGTGACCGGCATGTCTCCTTACTGTCTGTCTCTCCTCCATGTCCTGCAAGTGCTAATTCCCCCAGGGCCTCCCCCTCCATGTGGGGTCTTGTCCTGGAAGAAGCATTGCTCCAGCTCCTCAGGCCTAGAGGAGGAAAAACCCTTCCTGTGTTCAGCTGCTGTCCTCTTCACACTTTCTGGGGAAATTGATGCTGTCTGGTTCCTTGTCTTCAGGTCCATCAGGTTCCTCACTGCTCCTGTTTCTACCTGCACACACACTGATGTCTCCTAGGCTGCAGCGCTCTGTGGTTCATCCTCACTCCCCTTCCATCTAGGGGTCAATGGGGACAGCTTGTCAGATTGTTTTCCCATGAGCACTGTCTGTGGGTTTTGAATCTGCTACCTACTCATTTAATTCATAAAACCTTATTTAACTTATATGCAGAGTACATCATGAGAAACACTGGGCTGGAAGAAGCACAAGCTGGAATCAAGATTGCCGGGAGAAATATCAATAACCTCAGATATGCAGATAACCCCACCCTTATGGCAGAAAGTGAAGAGGAACTAAAAAGCCTCTTGATGAAAGTGAAAGNAGATCAGTCCTGGGTGTTCGTTGGAAGGACTGATGCTGAAACCGAAACTCCAATGCTTTGGCCACCTCTGGCGAAGAGTTGACTCATTGGAAAAGACCCTGATGCTGGGAGGGATTGGGGGCAGGAGGAGAAGGGGACGGCAGAGGATGAGATGGCTGGATGGCATTGCCGACTCGATGGAGGTGAGTTTGGGTAAACTCCCGGAGTTGATGATGAACAGGGAGGCCTGGCGTGCTGCGATTCATGGGGTTGCAAAGAGTCAGACACGACTGAGAGACTGAACTGAACTGAATGGATAAATGAGTTGACATGGTTAGATAGCATCACTGACTCAACAGACATGAATTTGAGCAAACACTAGGACATAGTGAAGGAAAGAGGAGCCTGGTGTGCTGCAGTCCATGGGATTGCAAACAGTTGGATACAACTAAGGTACTGAACAATAATAACAATCACCTGACATCCATTCCAAATCCAAATTTCCCAATCTTCTATTACTTTTTTTTTTTGCTATACAGTGCGGGTGGAATGTGGGATCTCAAGTCCCTGATCAGGGATCAAACCTGTGCCTCCTGAAGTGGAAGCATGGAGTCCTAACCACTGGGCATCCAGGGAAGTCCCCAAATCAAAAAAAAAAAAAAAAAAAATTTTTTTTAAGCTAGTTTGTCCCACTCATGACCCAACCCAGGCCATGATCTGCTTTGGCTGCCTTGTTTCCTGTCTGATTTGCAAAGATAGATCCTCTTCCCTTCTGCTGTGATGCTACTTGTTTGTGGAATAAAGACAGTGGGCCATCTGCTCTCTACACTTACCACACCCTGGGTTCACTGATCACTTTCTGCTGTGTCACATAACAGGTTCGTTTGGTCTCTGTACTTCCTTAGGCTTGTAGTTCTAGCCCTGGCCAGATTTCATATTTTTCCTTTTCTTTCTCAGTGAGAACACTTTGGTGTGACTGATGTCTACCTCCTAATTGCATCATGAAGAGTCCGGTTGTGTTGGTGGTGTTCTGGAGATGTTAACATTGTTCATCTGGGCATATTTGGAAATACTACAACATTTTAATTAATAATACCACTTCTGCTATCATACCCCAGGCATCTTTCTAACTGCTTTCTCTGTGATTTCTCATATTACATCTCAGTACATTCACTGTGTTCAGACTTGAAAATCGGCCCAGGCTTGGTTGTTTGGAAGATTCTGAATCACTGCTCTGAGCTTCTGTTTGCTTGGCATAGTGATGCTTGCTCTTGATTTACAGTGTCATTTTGGGGATTATTTGAAGTCATGATGTGAGAGCATTTTGACAAAGGAGAACATGCCAGCTATAAAAAATTTAAGAGAGAAAACCCCAGATAAACAGTGACTGTGATGTCTGTCTCACTTGTTCCGCATCTGTTTCTTGAAAGCGCTGAGCCACGCAGACCAGGTAGAAAGCTGCCAGGTGCCAGAGCCGTAGGCAATCCCGGGAGCTGCGGAGGTTTTACAGTCAGTCCAGCGCCGCGCACAGCCTCGTGCGGCGGGAAGCCCAGGTCCTCTCGCGCGCCCCGCCCCATGTCCCATACTCCCCGTCTCTGAGCTCCCCGCCCCTACGCCCGTACGCCCCGCCCCCGCACCTTACGCCCCTCCCCTGCGCCCCGCCCCCCCGCTTCCCAGCGGCGCTTGGGCCCCGCCCCGCGCGCCAGCTACCGGCCGCCTGCAGCCTGGGGGTGCGGATCCGAGCGAGCGTGGCGCCGCGGGCAGGTCTCGGCACGCGGCCCTTGGAGGCCGCTTGAAGGAGGCGCACGGAGCTCGCGGTGGAGCCCGCGATCCGAGGTCGGCGCGGGGCTGGGCTTCCGGGACCCCGGGTCTATCCGCCGGCCCGCGGAGCAGGTTGCGCGCAGCGCTCTTGTGCTTCCGTTCGCTGCTGTTCCGGCTCTGCGAGCCGCGGCCCCCACGCAGGTTAGTCAGTGCATGAGATACTCTGCTCCGGGTCACGGACGGCAGCTACTACTCTTTGAGTGTTGGGCCACACAGAACGATGTTGTANGCAACCCACTCCAGTATTCTTGCCTGGAGAATTCCATGGACAGAGGAGCCTGGCGGGCTACAGTCCATGGGGTTGCAAAGAGTTGGACACGACTGAGCAACTGAGCAGGCATGCATGCAGAGGAACCAATGTGAGCTATCCAAAATTCAGTTAGAATATCATGATGATTATTCTTATTGATAGTACATATATGAAACATGTAATATTTCATGACTTTCAAAGGTGACATTCAAACCTTAGGATCCCATCATCCCTCAGTTCAGTTCAGTCACTCAGTGATGTCCAAATCTTTGCGATGCCATGGACTGCAGCACGCCAGGTTTCCCTGTCCTTCACCAACTCCCAGAGCTTACTCAAACTCATGTCCATTCAGTTGGTGATGCCATCCAACCATCTCATCCTCTGTTGTCCCCTTCTCTTCCTGCTCTCAATCTTTCCCAGGATCAGGATTTTTTCCAATGAGTCAGGTCTGCACATTAGGCGGCCAAATATTGTAGTTTCAACTTCAGCATCAGTCCTGCCAATATTCAGGACTGGACTTTAGGATGGAATGCTTGTATCTCCTTGCAGCCCAAGGGACTCTCAAGAGTCTTCTCCAACACCACAGTTCAAAAGTATCAATTCTTCGGCACTCAGCATTCTTTATAGTCCAGCACTCACATCCATATATGACTACTGGAAAAACCATAGCTTTGACTATATAGATGGACTTTTGTTGGCCAAGTAATAACTCTGCTTTTTAACGTGCTGTCTAGGTTAGTCATAACTTTTCTTCCAATAAGCAAGCCTCTTATAATTTCATGGCTGCAGTCACCGTCTGCAGTGATTTTAGAGCCCCCGCAAAATAAATTCTGTCACTATTTCCACTGTTTCCCCATCTATTTGCCATAAAGTGATGGGACTAGATGCCATGATCTTTGTTTTTCTAGTGTTGCGTTTTAAGCCAGCTTTTTCATTCTCCTCTTCTACTTTCATCAAGAGGCTTTTTAGTTCTTCGCTTTCTGCCATAAGGGTGGTATCATCTGCATATCTGAGGTTATTGATATTTCTCTTGGCAATCTTTTTTTTCTTCTCTTGGCAATCTTGATTCCAGCTTGTGCTTCATCCAGTCCAGCATTTCTCATGATGTACTCTGCATATAAATAAGGGTGACAATATACAGCCTTGAAATACTCATTTCTCGATTTGGAACCAGTCCATTGTTCCATGTCCAGTTCTAACTGTTGCTTCTTGGCCTGTGTACAGATTTCTTAGGAGGCAGGTCAGGTGCTCTGGTATCTCCTAAGTTTTACCATTTTTAAGTGTACAGTTCAGTGGCTTTCAGTACGTTCACATTGTTCTGCAACCATCACCTCCATCCATTTCCAGAGCTTTTTCTTCTTCCCAGATAGAAACTCCACATCCACTAGGTAATAACTCTCCGTCTTCCCCATCCCATGCCCTGGCATCCACTGTCCCACTTCTGTATCTATGGGACTGACTGCTGTAGGGCCCTCATGTACCTGGCCCTCATGTAGCATTTGTTGTTTGTGACTGGCTTATTTCTCTCAGCATACTATCCTCAGGGCTCATCCATGTTATGGTCTGGGTCAGAATTTTTTTCCTTTTTTAAGGGCTGAATGATACTCCATTAATAATTAGAAGTTTATGCAACATTTTGTTTATCCATGATTCATCTGTCAGTGGACCCTTGGGTAGCTTCCACATTTTGGCTCTTGTGAACTGTGCTACTATGAACATGGGGTAAAAATATCTGAGTCTCTGCTTTCAGGACATTTGGGTGTGTTAGGAATTATTACTTAATGGGTGTGGAGTTTCCATCTGGAAATGGATGGAGGTGATGTTTGCAGGACAATGTGAATATACTGAAAGCCACTGTGTACCCAGAAGTGTGTTTGCTGAATCATATGGTAGTTCTACTTGTAACTTTTTTGGGGAGCCACCATATTGTTTTCCATGGTAGTGGGAGCTTGTATGGCAGCCTGTATGGCTCTCCTGCTGGGTTAAATTTGATTAGCTTAGTAAAACTGACAAATTGAACATGGAGACAGAAAGCAGTAACATTTTATTAATTTTGCCTTTTGAGCTCAAACCTGCTAACGCAAGGAAACCTAATATAGACAGAATTATTCATCATTTATCACGAGAAGGCAACACAGAATATACATACATACATATATATATATATGTATGTATATATATATATATATAAAACCTCCCTCTTCCTCATTTTACAGACTGGTGATACAGATGGATAAGCACGTCTTTTCCACATGTTTTCTGAGTAGACAGGAAGGGTCAGTGGCATCTGGGCCCAGGCAGCTCTGAGGAGGGACCAGATATCCCCACCACCCAGGTTAGTCTAGAAAAGGACACATTTTCTCTGCATTTGCCTCTGAGCGCCTGGACGTGAAGGGGACGGTAGTACTTGGTGGTTAAGGCAGTGGCTGTGTTACAGAAGGGGGACCCCTCCCAGGCCTGAGGGTGGGCTCTTGTCTTAACACTCAGAAGTGAATTGTCTGAGGAGACAATAAGAGTCAGGCTCGCACCCTGAGGTTGTGATAAAAGCTGATGAAGCAGATACTGACGAAGCAGAAGGCTTTACTGGGAAGGGTCACCTGGTGGGAGGACAGTGGAGTCAGGGAACCCAGGAGACCTGCTCCGCCGTTTGCTCCCAGTCTCAGGGTTTATGGTGATGGGTTAGTTTTCTGGGTCATCACTGGATAGTCATCTTGTTTGGCTCGTGTCAGGTCCAATTCCTGATGCTGAGGGCATCTCAGACAAGGCTTATCCCAGCTCGAGGACCTCTGGGAGGTTGGTGGGATGTATTATGGGTTGGCATCTTCTCCCTCCTTTTGGCCCCTCCCAAATTCTTTCTTATCCTTATTGGGACCTCCTGTTGTGAGATAATTCATACTGGTGGTCAGTGTCCTGCCTGGTCAGGCAGGCGGCTTCAGTTATTGGTTCCTAAACCTCTGTGGGGATCTTAGGTCATTGGTTTTGTTACGGTTGAGATAAAATATGAGGCTTACTTTCAGTGAGTCAAGGATCTGGGGCTTCGGGTGTGAAACGTGAGAAGCACTACGCAGTGAGTGGTGGAGAAGTGGGTTCAGCCCTGTGGCCGTGGCTCCTAGGCCCTCCGGTCACTGGCCTTCTTTCCCTGGACCCGCTGGTTCCTCTTACCAAGCTGGAGGGACTCCCTCAGGGTGTAAGCCTGACTCTTATCTCATTCTGATAAGCCTGCCTCTTGGGAATGAGATGAAATTCACAGTTGATGGCAAGATGAGGAAAACCTCAAAATAAAATTTTTCTCTGCCCATTTGGGCCTCCTCCCCCCTTTCGTGCATGCTCTGCACATGCACTGACCAGCTCTCCTGAGAGAGGGGCTTCCTCCTTCTTCCTGTAGGTGGCCTGGTGACCCTCCATCCACCAGTTGTATGTACAGGTCTGCATTGTGTAAACTGTCAATGAAACATTTGATGCATGACCCCTTGCTCAGAAGCAAAAGGCCGAATCCCAGGCTGGCTCGAGTAAAATTCTCCCATTTCTTTCTTGGATGAACTGTTGGTTAATTTTCCCATCAACAATAGAAAGACTTTTTTTTTTTAAAAGCACTTTTGTGAACATTCTGTCAGTGTCCGAAGCAGCAGTGGGGGGTGGGTGCTGTGACCCTGTGAGACCCAGGGGTTCGGGGACTCACTGAGGACCCCAAGCGGAGCTGCAGTCAGTTCTCACAGGTCAGTGCAGCTCTCTCTGTGTGGTGGAGGGTGAAGCATGAAGAGGAGCCAGGGCCGCTCGGTCTTGCTCTTTCTAGCACTGCTGGCCGCAGGGCAGCGACTGGTCATCCATGGCGGCAGTTTTCCTTCCAGCTAGGCAAGGAGTTGGTGAGGCTGACTGTAGGCTCCATGAGAGCAGGGAGCTGTCAGAAGCAGCTGTGGTGGGAGTGATGTCTGGGCCCCTAGTGTGGGTCTTGGAGTCGAGCCCAGCCCTGTTCCCCCACCCCATCAGCCCTGGAAACACTGCCTTCACTTCAGAAGCTGAAGAGGGTGAGCTGTGGCTATGACGTTGAAGACAGTGAGGGGAACTCGACTTTGATGGAAGGTACAGTGGGTTTTGGAAAGAGGAAGAGCCGTTTCCAAGATTTGAGGAAAAGGAATTCTGTTGGAAGGATTCAGTGTCAGAAGTTGTCAAATACAGTTTCACTCTTTTGGGGAGTTTTGTGTATTTTTCAGTGATCACACACTACCAGGTTCACGTGGCCTTAGGGTGTTCTTGAGAAGACATGTCTCAGTACCAGCAGGCTGGCCTGCTGCCCCTCATTCCTTCTTTTCTCCCTCCTTCCCTCTAGGTCCTCTGGCTGAAGGGCTCTTTATGGAGGAAAGAACACAGGAGCCTGGGGAAGGGCAAGGCCCTGGGCCCTTATCTAAGCTGACAGCTGTGGGCGGTACCCAGTGGCAAACCCTGTGTCCTCCTGCTCCTGTCCCCCCCACTCCTGTGTCCCCCCCCTCCTGTGTCCCACCCCACTCTTGTGTCCACTGCCCAGCTGAGCAGCTGGGGTGTCTCCCCTCTGTACTCCGAGGTCTCTGTCCCTACCACGACTGCCGGGAGCAGGGTTCCATGACGGAGCAGTGGGCGTGGAGGAGCCACTCAACTTGTCTTTCAGGCTTCCTCGCTGGGAAGCCAGGAAGCACAGCACAGAGGCCGCAGGGATGGGTTCCCTCCCTCCCAGTCCCTCCCAGTGGGACATCAGGTCCTCGCAAGTTTCAGCTGCTGCTGGGCCTTAGCTTTCAGGATTGTAGGATAGTCTAGGCCTTTTGAGAGAAGATGGGCAGTGAGAACAGATGCCTTTCATTTATTTTTTCTTTGCCCTGTTTTTTAAAAAAATGAGGAGCCTAGTGGGCTGCTGTTTATGGGGTTGCACAGAGTCGGACACGACTGAAGCGACTTAGCAGCAGTGCAGTTTTCTGTGTCTTGGTGGTTGTGTATTATGAGCACTGCTGTGGAGCAAGCTGGGCTTTTACTGGTGCAAGAGGACCGTTCTGCAAGCTGGACTTAGTGGAGATTGTTTTAGGCTCTAAAACAATGTGTCCTGGTCCCCTTGGTGTCGACCATATGCAGGTTGCTAGATCATCCTGGAAAATCGCTTACCCAGAAAGGGTTTTCTGCATTTATTGGCTCAGTTAGGACCCAAGGTCAGCTTCTCCACAGCCCAGCCCATCTGCCCCTCCAGGTTTCTGGGGCGTCTCCCATGTCTGAGCTCTCTGTGGCCCCCAGGTCACCACGTACAGGATCCTCGTCTTGACCATCAGTGTAGGACCCTTCCATGGAGGACTGGCTCTCAGAGCCCCCTTCAAGCCCCCCTTGTGTTGACCTTCACTTCAGATGTGTCAGAAGTGGATGCAAAGCTCATCTACAATGAAGGTGAATCTGAATGTTTGAAAGGCTCCTGAAGAGAAACCACTGCACATAAATGTTTCATGAAGGAGGGTCGTCCAGAGCATAAGGTTGATATGCAGGTGAAAAATCATGTTTGTGGACACGTATGTAATCCTCACACAGAATTCATGGCTGTGGCTCTGTCCAACCCCGACTCTGAGCCAGCAAGGGGGCACCTCGCCTGTGAACATCCACTTCTTTTGTGGAAAACCTGTGTAGAGAAGTGGTGAATTCACACCAAAGGCAACACACTATAGGGGGCTACATACAGCCTGTTGATTTTTGTGGAGGTGGGTGGTGGGGAATCCTGGAATTGGCACTTACTTGTTAATTGTTGACTTTTCCTGTTTTTTTCTCTGACTTTAATAAACACCCTTCCATCAAACGACTTCTGAAGGTGAAAGTGTTAGTTGTGCAGTCCTGTCTGACTCTCTGAACTTGTGGACTGTAGCCCGCCAGGGTCCTCTGTCCATGGGATTCTCTAGGCAAGAATACTAGAGTGGGTTGCGATTCCCTTCTCCAGGGGATCTTCCCAACCCAGGGAAGGAACCCAGGTCTCTTGCATTGTAGGTGGAGTCTTTACTGTCTGAGCCACCAGGGAAACCAAGTGACATTAAAATAGTGATAAAACTGTCATCTTGTTGGGAGAACCATTCTAGTAGCCCCTCTGGCCCTTGCAGATGTAGAGACCTCGTACGGAGCCATGACAGCTTGTCCTTGTGAAAGTATAGGACAGTGGGTCTGGGAAGGTGACAGGCTCTGGAAGTCACTGGTTCTTAGTGGCGGTGCCTGATGGTGGCTCCTCAAGGGAGACACATAACCTGGTCCTTCCCTTCCTTGCAGATACACAGTGGAGACGCGGACACCACCGCACCCGGCCAGAAGCCTGGCTCCCTCGTGGAAAGTCTCTGGCTGCCAGCACCCCTGGGCAGGGATATGGCCTCAAGCCAGCTAGGGGCCAGGGGGCAGTGCCTCCGTTTGCTGAAGACGAGGGGCTTCTTGCTGCTGAAGCTCTTGGCCGCTGTCTTGGCCGTGCTTCTCTTCTGTGAATTTCTGATCTACTACCTCGTCATCTTCCGGTGCAGCTGGCCCGAGCTGAAAACCCCTGAAGGTGCCGGCGCCCTTGGGGCCCCCAAGGCCCCTGAGCCTGTGCTCAGGGCCATGTTCTTGGCTGACACCCACCTGCTCGGGGCCGTGAGAGGCCACTGGCTGGACAAATTACGGAGGTAACTTGGGCCGAATTCAGAGTTTTCTGCAGGTCTGTAGGCCTCTTCTCACAGGTGGGGTCTCACGGTCCCCATCTATTTCTGTCTCCACCACCTCAAGTGCTTGTGGGCACTGGGTCACTTCCACCCTTTGACCTTTGTGGGTGACGCCACCAGAGGGTTGATGGGGGCACCTCCTGCCCCGGTGGCCCTGTCTCCGACCCCTTCTTGTCATCCTGGCTGCACTTGTGCCTCCCCAAACAGGCCTTACTCCTGGGGTGGGTGGAGCGTCCTGGGGCGCTGGGATATCCCAGGGTGGGGGTGGGGGAGGCCGGACAGTTGATGGCAGGGCTACTGTGTTTCCTCTCAGAGCTTTAAACCCTGGGAGGTGTGAGGTAGGCAAGAGCTGGGACACACCCACCCCTCCTTTCCTCTCGTCATCCAGGGAGTGGCAGATGGAGCGAGCCTTCCAGACAGCACTGTGGCTACTGCAGCCGGAAGTCGTCTTCATCCTGGGGGATGTCTTCGATGAGGGGAAGTGGAGCTCGCCCGAGGTGGGCATGCGACCCTGCATCTGGGGCTGCACTGAGGTCCAGGGAGCCCAGGGTGTGCGGAGTCCTGGCGCTGGGCGTGGGGGCTGCAGTGTCCGAAGTCATAGGCTCCATGTCCCCGCCGGTCCTGGGTCCTGTTTGTCTGTGTAGGAGACGTCTGTGAAGGTTGGCAGATGCTTCCCATGACCCTCTCGGAAGGGAAGGTCCGCAGGAGGGAAGCATCTGGGTTGTCCCCAGAGTTCAGGATGCCCGCTGAAGTGTGGTTTGACTTAACACTTAGGAGGCTGTGCTGCCTATGAGGTCATGGCCTTTTTCTGAGGGAGGTGGGGGGGGTTGCTGGTGGGAGATCCCTCTGCCCTCAGGTGAGACTAGGGCAAGGCTCTTCTCACGTTTGCTGGCAGAACTCTTGGCATACTGCATTCTTGGGATTAATGGGGGAAAGAAAAGCACCATTCTTGCTGCTTAGTTAAAAATGATCAGTCACTGATGGTTTGAAAAGTGAAAGTGAAAGTCGCTCAGTTGTGTCCGGTTCTTTTTTTGTGTGTGTGTGTCCGATTCTTTGTGACCCTATGGACTATACAGTCCATGAAATTCTCCAGGCTGAAATACTGGAGTGTGTAGTCTTTCCCTTCTCCAGGGGATCTTCCCAACCCAGGGATTGAACCCAGGTCTCTCACATTGCAGGCACATTCTTTACCAACTGGCTATCAGGGAAGCCTGATGGTTTTGGAAGACATTTTAAAAAATTAACTGAAATTTGCTGGGACACTTCAAATGCTGTACAAACAAAGTCCTGGTTCAGATCAGATGGGAACCCCTGTTCATGGAGTTGCAATGTTGGTTGTTTTTCTTCCGTCACTAAGTTGTGTCCGACTTTCTGCGACTGATGGACTGCAGCACATCTGTCCTTCACCATCTCCTGGAGTTTGATGAAACTCATGTCCATTGAGTCGGTGATGCCATCTAACCATCTCATCCTATGTTGCCCCCTTCTCCTTCTGCCCCGAGTCATTGGTTTCATCTAGTCTGGAACTAATTGTGAAACCATGGAAACACTGTGTGTAAAAAGCAACTGGTTGTAGAGTGAGCTTGGATATAAATGCTGCTTTAGAAAATTAAGGGGAACATGTTATATTTTTCTAATTTTATGTTTTTCTAACTTTAAGTATTATTTGTTAAAGTCTTTGTAAAGTACTGAAGGAATCTGTCCAGTTTATTTCTCTAGGTTGGGCCACATTTAAGACTTTCGGACAAAGTTGACTATTGTTCAGCTAGGTATCATCCAGCCTAGAGTGTTTGTCCAGCTTGTTTTTAGGCTTAATAAAAATAAGGACTGAAACATCATCTCAGGCTTTAACAGTAAAGTCAGAAAAGCCTGGAGAGACCTTTTGGCTTCCTTCTTTCCCCCACATCTTGTTGGTCCCCACTGCGCCCCCCACCAGCCTCAGGGAGCGTAACCCTGAGGGAGGCACTGGCCCTCATTCCTGGGGGGCTCACCCTGAGCTTGATGTTTCTGTAGCCATTTTTAGGACATGTCCCAATCTGAGGGGATCCTCAGCCTGGGGTCTGTGCGTGGCTGTCAGGAGATATTGAGGTAGCGGGGGTGTGAAGAGGATGGTTTGGGGAGATAAACTGTTTCATTCAACCTTGGCACCAGGTTAAATGGTTAGGTTTGTCTTGGGAAAAGAATGGTAGAAATTATGCACATTGGCTTTATGGTTGCCTGATCCTGGCAGGAAGCGACCTTCCTATCCTCACAACCTGGCAGGGTGGTCCCCTGGGCTGAACTGTGCACTTTTCTCTGCAGGCCTGGGCAGACGATGTGGGGCGATTCTGGAAGATGTTCCGACACCCGCCTCATGTGCAGCTATGGGCCGTGGCTGGCAACCATGACATCGGCTTCCACTACCAGTGAGTGGTCAGTGGAGGCGCCTTCCCCCTGCCCAGCCCAGGGGGGCCTTGCCTGTGGGGTGAGGTGCTGAGGGCTCCTGCACATCACTCACCAGTCCCACCACTGAGCTGTATGTGCCCCAGAGTGGTTCTCACTTGAACTTAATGTTTTGTGACCCGTTTTCTTTGGGAATCAGAAAACAAGACGATTTGGGCTTTAATAGCTGATGTTTACATGGCGCCGGCCTGTTGGGAGCACAGTGCTTTCGTACATTCAGTCTCTTTGTTTACCTGTTATTTTTATTGCTTTACCCACTCTACCAGTGAGGGAGCTGGAGCTCTAGGGATAAACTCAATCAGCCTGGGCCCCAGATTCTGGACTCCAGGCCCCTGGCTGGACAGTGGTGGCAGCACCCTGCTTACCCAGGGTGAGTGGGAGCTCAGAACAACGTGCTGGTTGGGCCTTCAGGTCCTGGATGTTATTTTTCCTGTGTTCTTGTTAATTCTGAGGATGTTTTAAGAATGACTTGTCCTGAAAAATATTTCTTTTCACAATTGAATGTAGGATGGACACATACAGAATAAAACGCTTTGAGAAAGTTTTCAGCCCTGAAAGGCTATTTTCTTGGAAAGGAATTAAGTGAGTATTATCTGTGAATTCTTAACGAAGACCCCTAGAATGTGACTTAAGAAAGTGTGGTCGTCTTCCAGATCATGGGGTTAATCGACTCCTGACCTCTGAATTCTTTAAACGCCAGGCACCTCTTTGTGGCCAGTGGACATGTGTGCAGGACACGATGGCACATTTAACGGGTCTGTGACGATGTCCCTGAGGGAGGAGGCACCAGGGCACCTCAGCTGACCTGCTGTCATCTGAGTTTGGGCTCCTTGGCCCAGTTAGCTTTGCCGGTCCCCCTCACCCCGCCTGGTCTTAGGCTCTGCTCTGATGTCTTATTCCACATTACCCCCACAGGGAGCCAGGGCTGTGGTGGCTGTCATTTTCCCACCTTACATCCAAGGCCCAGGGACACAAGGTCAGGTGCTGAGTGTAGTGGTCACCTGGGGCCTCTTACTAGTTCAGGGTGGAAAAGCCTTTCCCGTCTTGGATTCGACTCCCAGAAATGCTGTCTTGTCCTGTTAGCATCGTCTGCAGCTGCAGGCACAGTGCAGCAGGACTGGGATGTCTTCTCTGTGGGGTGCAGCTTCTGGGTCCCAGAGCACAGGTGCCCGCAGACAGTGCCAGTGCCCATGGTTTGACCTCCTGCCTCTCTGCAGTTTTGTGATGGTCAACAGCGTCGCGCTGGAAGGGGACGGCTGTGACATTTGCTCCAGGGCAGAGGCTGAGCTCCTGGAAATCTCTCATTGGCTGAACTGCTCCCGGGAGGTAGGACACCCCCCAACCCCTGCCCCGCTCTGGGGGCACGGCCATCCCTGCTTCCCCCTCCCTCCCACCGTCCAGTGTCCAGTGAGTGAAGAGCCTGGGCTCTGACCTGCAGGAGCATCGCCCCCGCGGGTGCAGAGACAGACAGCGGCTGCCGGCCTCAGCCCCCATCCTGCTACAGGTGAGGGGTCCCCACCTGGTGGCCTACAAGTGTATGGGGGAAGCGCTGGGTCTCACAGTCCCCTGACCCCTCTCTGGTCTGGACAGCACTTTCCGCTTTACCGGAGAAACGATGCCAACTGCTCTGGGGAGGATGCAGCGCCCCCCGACGAGAAGTACACCCTCTTCAAGGAGCGCTATGACGTGCTGTCCCAGGAGGTCTCGCAGAAGGTGAGCGGGGACGTAGGGATGCAGGGATGTAGGGTGGGGCAGGTGGCACCTACACAGGCATTTCGTCCTCTTCCCCCGTGGGAAACCCACACCTGTTCCTAAGATCTGGGTGATGATAGTCTCAGCCCTTGTTTATTCTGTTTCCCACCAACATGTATCTAGGACAGTGAATGAGACTCAAGAGTAAAGTCTTTAAGACTTAATCAGAATGTCCTTCCTAAATATATTACACACTAATATTTGTATACTGTATGGTGTATGTAATATATAAAACAAAATATACATTTGTGAAATGGATTTATTAAAATATTTATAAAAAAGAAAATTTAATTAAAACCATGCAATCTGGGATGGAAAAATAGATTCTCCCTGAGAGCCTGGGTTACTTTTGATGGCATCTGAACAGACTTGAGGGCAGAGGGAGCTGGGTGTGTGTCCCCAGGCCCCGGCGACCTCTCACTGCCTTCACTGCCACCACAGCTGCTGTGGTGGCTGCGGCCGCGCCTGGTCCTCAGTGGCCACACGCACAGCGCCTGCGAGGTCCAGCACGGGGCAGGCATCCTGGAGGTCAGCGTGCCGTCTTTCAGTTGGAGGAACAGAAACAACCCCAGTTTCATCATGGTATGTGAATGTTTATTTTCATCTCAAAGCTTCCACAGTATTTAAATCAGCACAGTGATCACCTACTGAATTGCAGCATGAATTGCTGCAATCTGTGAAAACATACAGAAGCTGTAACCACACCCCTCCCAGCACACCCAGCAGCGTGAACCCCTCTAGGGGGACAGTTGTTTCTGGTGGGGTGGTGAGGGGACCATCTCACAGTGTCTTGTCCGGCAAGGACAGCAGTGCCCCGGGAGCTCTGCCTTCTGTTTTCTAAGGAGATGGGGTCATCCTGTCTTATTTTCCACACATGCCTATTTGTGCTGATAGACAGATGCTGCGGGTCTTGTACGTTTTTCAGGGACACCAGTGATGACCTAAAGCTTCAGCTCCTTTGAACCCTGAGTCCATGTCCAGGTAATAGTGCTTTCACATCAGGAGTTTTTACTTAATAACAAGATGGGGAAAACCTGCTTTCAAATTGAAAGTAAAAGAACGTTCCCCACCATCATTTCACACAGCAAAATTTGTCTACCAAAAAAAAAAGGCCCATTGAAATGCCCCACGCACATGCATTTCTAGGTGATAGGCTGCTTACTTCAGCATCAAGTGGCATGAAAAACAGCCGTGTCATCTTTGTTCCTGGATGACCACTGATCTAAGTTTCCAGGCCTCTCTGAATCCTCTCCTGCATGGCCTCTGGGTTTAGAGGACCTCCCCACCCCATATTAGGTGCTAGATTCAGTGGGGGATCAGCTCCCAGGCCATGTGCACTCAGCCCCCGGGACCCAGCATGTGGGATGGCGGCAGTGTGGCCTGCAGTGTCCTTGGTCTCAGGTTCGTTGGGCCTAGCGGCTCACTCCCTTGCTCGTGTCTTTGTGTTGGTGCTATCCGGGCAGCTGATGGTCTTGCTTGCTCCCCAGGGCAGCATCACGCCCATGGACTACGCCCTGGCCAAGTGCTACCTGCCATGCGAGGACATGGTTCTGACCACGTACTGTGTGGCAGCCGGGTGCCTCATGCTCATCACGTTAATCTCCACTGGGCTTGTGTCTGCACCTTTTCATTTTGGTCGGAGGGTGCTCAGAAAATTTAAGACCATGTGAGTAGCAGCAGACTTTTGCTGTTAGCAGTATTAAGTCCCAAAGCCAAAGAAAAGAAACTTTGGGCGGTGCTCATGGACGATGAGACTACAGTGGGCTGTGGGCACCACTCCTGGGTTCCGGATCACTTGTGTCAGGCCCTGCAGGATCAGTGCTGTTCCCAAGCTGCAGAAATGGGACCTGTCTCTACACCGGGTCTGTCTGCTTGTTTAACAAGTGTGTGTGTTATCAGAGACTCTGTACAGTGTGCAGAAGCTGCGTGTGATCCCTGGCATGCACTGGACAGCCTCCCTTACCCAGGACTCTTTCCCAGGATGGAGGGCCAGCTGTACACATATGTGGGGTCTGCGTCTGCCCTCCTGTGAATGTTCTCAAGTTTCTGTTTTATAAAGTCGTGTGCTTAAAATACATATGCTACAAGCAAGAATATATTGTTTTCACAGACTTCTTTATTTCTGTGCTAAATTAATGGAATCAGATTTTTAGATGAGTGTAATTTCCTCTCCAAGTTGTTAAATCTGATTGAATGCCTGTCAGTGATCAAAAGAAACTAAAAAAAAAATGGACCAGGAAGAGGCCTTTGGTATTTAAAAATAAATATGCCGTGGTAGTTTTAAGCCTCATAAAATCTGTGTGTGTGTTTGAGAGAATCTAGCTCTTCAATCAGACTTCTCTAAATAGGAAGTCTAGTTACAGGGGAATTGTTGAATTATAATTCATATAAAAATAGTTTCATTCTTTTGGGTATATAGTGGGACTGTAGCTCTTCAGATTCTCTTCATGTTGTACTGTGAAAATGCAATGGAAAACTGAAGATTGTGTCCCCTTTGTAAGTCTCAGTTCATCTGAGAGTTTTATGGAACAATCAAGGATGGCAGGAGCCCAAATTCAGTGATAATGATTCAAAATATGTGATGGTGCACTGTCTGTAAAAGCTGTCATCCTTTATTTCATGGAAAACTAGTGTGTAAATGTGGATGAGTTTACAAAAGATTGTAAGATGCTGCTTTAGAGAGTAAACTTTAAAACATTAAAGACCATAAAGATGAAATGGAAGTTAATGTCGGCATCCATGTTGTTGAGATATGACCTCAGACAGTTTTAACAGGTTATCCTTGACCTGAGAGCACCAGCCTTGGGGCGGTGGACAGACGAGGCTGGCTTTTGAGGTCTTGTGCTAGATGGAGCTCACAAGGCTGCATTTGCAGATCTTTCAGGGTTGAGGAACAGCTGTATCTGTGTTTCAAATAAAGGTTTTGTCGTGTTTCTTCTTCAAAAGGCAAATCAGAGTCTGTCCTTTGACTCCCCACAGGCCAGACACAGCCTGAAACCCTTGTCTTTTCCTTGCTATTTATTTATGATGGGACCTGTGCTCAAGGAAGTAGTTCAAAAACTTTGACTAGGGGAACAGGTGGCCTTGAAAAAGCCTTTAAATAGCCAGATAATGGAGAAACATGTTTTCTGAATAGAAAAATGTCCCTGGTTCCCTGAAAGAGGCTTGTGGGCATGGCATTCTGTGAGAGGTGGAGGATTACTGTGTGTCACTTACAAATATTTATATCATGGAAAACTAGTGTGTAAATGTGGATGAGTTTACAAAAGATTGTAAGATGCTGCTTTAGAGAGTAAACTTTAAAACATTAAAGACCATAAAGACAAAATGGAAGTTAATGTCGGCATCCATGTTGTTGAAATATGACCTCAGACAGTTTTAACAGGTTATTCTTGACCTGAGAGCACCAGCCTTGGGGCGGTGGACAGACGAGGCTGGCTTTTGAGGTCTTGTGCTGGATGGAGCTCACAAGGCCGCATTTGCAGATCTTTCAGGGTTGAGGAACAGCTGTATTTGTGTTTCAAATAAAGGTTTTGTCATGTTTCTTCTTCAAAAGGCAAATCAGAGTCTGTCCTTTGACTCCCCACAGGCCAGACATAGCCTGAAACCCTTGTCTTTTCTTTGCTATTTATTTATGATGGGACCTGTGCTCAAGGAAGTAGTTCAGAAACTTTGACTAGGGGAACAGGTGGCCTTGAAAAAGCCTTTAAATAGCCAGATAATGGAGAAACATGTTTTCTGGATAGAAAAATGTCCCTGGTTCCCTGAAAGAGGCTTGTGGGCATGGCATTCTGTGAGAGGTGGAGGATTACTGTGTGTCACTTACAAATATTTATATAAACGTATATACACATATCTATTGATCAATGAGTATTATAAAGAGTACCAGCCTGATAGACCCCTAAGCTCTACATACACCATTTGTTCTCTTCCTCAAAGCAAGTGCAGTGATGAGGATGACTGTTCAGCACGACAGAAACGCGTTTCTTTACAGGGACAGCCACAGTCAAGGCACAAAGATCTATAGGGATTTTCCTTGAGTAGTTAGTTATCAAAATAATATTACATCTTGTGGTCTGTACAGTGTAATAAACCAGCAATAAAACAGCAACAGGAAGAACCTATTACAGGAGGTGCTGCCACAGCAGTGGAGTCTGGGGGACCACAATGGATGGGACTTATGTTAACTGGAGGAACGTGGCCCCAGTGAGTGGGGGCTTTCTGCTGACACGTGGAAGATCAAAGGGCTCCAGCAACAAGGCTGAAGCTGGCCTCCCCTGGAGATGGAACTGAACCTCACTGCGGCTCAGGGTCTCCCCTGAGTCGGGGGCCCATCAGATCAGGAAGCATGCCTGAGCTATCGTGTCTCCCCATCTTCCAACTTCTCCACGAGTCAGGGGGCCCCCACCCCTACACAGACCAGGGTTGGGGAAGGAATGGGGACAGAGGTGGCTGGGGGCCCGGTGGTCAGGAGAGCCCCGCAGACAGCCCCAGGGCGGATGAACAGGACTCCTTCTTGAGTCGTGCCTGGCAGGACTGGGATGGGGGGGCGGGGCGGGGGCGGGGCAGTGCAGTCTCTTCAAAGGAAGGTAACTTTCCATTCTTTGTTTATCAGTACCAGCTGTGCTCTATGAGACACTGCAAAATAGACACACACAAAGAGTGAATTTTTCTTTTATGAGCAGTATTTAGCTCAATGTCTGAAATACAGCTGTTAAAAGANGGGGGTGCTGGGATAGGGGGTGTCTGTGCCAGGGTTGAGCTCCCCAGAACCCCCTTTCTATGCAAATTTGAAATCCTCTCAGAATACAAAGTTTCTTTTCAAAATGAGGACATTTAAACCTGAGTGGGTCTGTTTCTATATGACGCCTGAGCCGAGGGGGAATAAACTCACCCCCCAATCCCCCGACTCCGTCCCTTTGGGAAAAGGCAACACACGGATGGGTGGCTGTCTCAGGGCCGCCTTGGGGCCTGCACCCTGACCGCTGCTGCTGACAAGCCGTGTGACCTGAGGTCATAAGTCCACGTCTCGGAGGCTCGACGGGGTCATCACTCCGGGGAGAGGACGGGGAGAGGAAAGGAGCCGTGGGAGGCTGAGTGCAGAGCCTTGCAGGCCGTGCAGGCCGAGGTAGGGGGAAGGCAGAGGGTGGGGAAGCGCTCACCAGAAACAGGTCCCGGATGAAGAACTTTGCTCTGGTGACTTTGGGGTCTTCTCCCGCATCCGGCGTCGCTGGAGGAGATGAAAGGAGCTTTAAGAGCCGCGAAACGGCTACAGCTTAACGGAGGGCATGAGAGGCGGAGGGCCTTCGGCCATGCAGCCGAAATCTTCCTTCCTCCTCCCAGGTCATTTTGATTTTAGTAGTGGTTGGCGTCTGCTGCTGGGAGACGACGTCCACTCACATCAGATAAGTGTCTCACTGATGGGGGAGCCCTGCCCCCCGACCACCTGCACCCCCAGGTCATCCTGCGGCCTCATCCTGAGACCTTCCCAGGAAACGTGCTGACCAGACAGGGTGAGGGTGGCAGGAGGCTGGTTTCCTGGAGAGGTCAGAGCAGGCCTGGCCTGTGAGGTGGACAGCGACCCCACCACAACGGTGGGCAGCGTGGGGCCGGGGTGCTGCCTCTGGGCAGCTGCTCCCGGGCCTAGGGAGCCCCCGCCAGGCTGGCTGAAATTGGTGCAGAGACCTAGACGGGTTTCTTCCCTTCTAACTGAAGTCTCTGGGAAAACCCCCTCATTCTGCTTCATCCCGTTTGGGACTAAACCATGAGTGGGGTTATTGTGTTCTAAGCAAACCCCTCCTTGCAGACTCGGGGCGGGATGGGGGGTGGCCCAGGAAACTCAAAACCCAGAAACAGTCCCTGAAAAGGGGCACAAATCCTCCAAGGTTTGCCGGATGGGACCTTCTAGGCTACAGCACTGACTGACTCCTGGGACAGTTGGTTGCCTGATGAAGTCACCATGCTGTGGCCGGAGTCATCGCTGGGGACGGAGGCCTGGCTCGGGCAGCTCAGACAGTGGCTCCCTCAGTCTGTGAGGGTCAGCAGGCAGGCCCACGCGCACAGACCCACATAAGCCCAGGAGGCAGAGTCTCTGTCAACCCTCACCCACACCAAGCTGCCCTCCCTCCGCCTGCCCAGCGTGGACCAAGTCAGACTGAAATTTTCACACATGGGACCCTATGGACACTTGAATGCTCTAGTAGCTTAGAGTGGGCAGGGGTCAAGGAGATGGATCTAAATTAACTGAATTTCCCAGATTCATCAGAATTGGGAATTACAGTCATAGTGCTGCTGAAAGAGCAATTCTTTCCCGTAATTCCAAGATAACGTTTCAGAATCTTACCGTCTTCAGGAACAGTATAATTTGCGTACTCTGGGAAATAGTCTTCAATTTTTGATTTTCCTGCCAGCACTTTTTCTGCCAGCATATCCTGTTTGTTCAGGAACAAGATGATGGAAATGGTGCGCAACCACCTGGAAGGAGAAGCAAGCACACAGATGCAGGTCCTTGGCAGGAGCAGGGTGAGGCGACCTGCCACCCTCTGGACGAGGTGAGGGGCTTGGATTTCTCGACAGCCCGGCACCTCGGCCCCCACTCCATCTGCACGCAGGACACTCCCATAGGATAAACTCTCCACTAGGATAACTCTGCTCCACCAGGCTCTACTGGCACCAAAACTAAGCTTCTGTAGGGAGTAAGTGCACTCGGATTTGTGTGGTGTCATTTACTAGTGAAAGTGAAAGTGAAGTTGCTCAGTCCTGTCCGACTCTTTGCGACCCCATGGACTGTAGCCTACCATGCTCCTCCGTCCATGGGATTTTCCAGGCAAGAGTACTGGAGTGGGTTGCCATTTCCTTCTCCAGAGGATCTTCCCAACCCAGGGAAGGGTTAGAAAAGCAGGGGAAGTTAAAGCTCCATCAACAGAACAGAGAGGTGGGCATCTGGGGCTATCGGTTGAGGAGCTGGCATGTGGGGGTCTGAGTGGGGACCCATCACTTGGCCGACAAGCTGAGGGAGGGGCTCAGGGGTCATCTAGTCATCAGTGGATGCTTTGAATGGGTGCTTTCTGAATGTTAAAATCCAAACAAGGTCAATTTTGAACCATATATATGCCTTTGAGATTTCCAACATAGAGATCTGGATTTTCCTGACCGAGTCCTATCAGTTCCACCCCCATCGAAAGTCTCCACATTAGATGGGCTGGAAGGGATGCTGCTTATGGTTTGAGAAGATTTATCAAGAGGAAAGACTCCCTCGGAAAACAAAGATGGCCATGCCGAGCAGCATTAGCTCTAAACCCAGGGCGAGGTCGAGTTCACCACCTCTCACCTGTTGTTCCAGATGCTCTCGAAAAGGTCCAGTGACTCCCGCAGGCGGTTGGTGTTGTTGTCTTCCCGGATAACCATGTTGTAGCTGCTGCAAGCGGCCACATAGATGATAGCAGTGACGTCTGTGTGGGGAAGAGGGGCACCTGGGTGACTCACAGCAGTGATGCTCCATGTCTCCAGGGAGCGCTCCCTCAGTGACAGCACTGGTGACCCTGGTCCCCAAAGCAGCAGGGACAATGTGACCCAGGATGCCAGACTCCCGTGTCCAGGGGACCCTTGGTCGAGGCGCTTGATGATGAGCTAGTGGGAAGCAGCGGGAGTGGAGGTGGGTTTATTCCCATTTTCTTGAGAGAGTGGAGAACTCACCATTGAAGCATTGGATCCATTTTCTTCTCTCATCCCTCTGGCCTCCGACATCAAACATGCTGGGGAAGAATGGGGTTGGGGGGTTAACCAGGGGTGGTGGATGCTCCTCCTTTGCTGCTCCCCCACCTGGTCCAAGGCTCTCCTCGCCTAGTGACATTGTGGACTGGCCCCACGGGGCCTCTCTGGTCTGGCTCCGGTGGGTGTCCACACCCAGTGTTTCTCTCCTCCCGGCCCTTGCCCTGTGGTCGGTCAGTAGCTCTCGGCTCTTGTCCTCCCGGGACAGCCCCCTGCCTGCGTCCTGCTCCTCTGCACCTGCCCAGGCTGGCTCACCCTCTCAGCATGTGGAGCTCAGGTACCTTTCTCCCCGCACTGACCACCTGCACTCCAGGGTGTGCACGGGCTGTGGCAGTGCCTGCCCGCCCAGGATGACCCACCGCCCAGGCCCAGGGGTTCTGCCCACACACTTACTGGAAGTTGACTTTGTCCACTTGGAATCTGGTCTCAAAAATCCCTGAGGTCAGAACTCTGCACCTGAGGAGGTCCTGGGGGCAGAGAGAGGGGAGCAAACCCAGTGACCCTGTCCTTAGGAGTTGTCCTGGGGCAGAGAAGGGAGCAGACCCAGAGACCTTGTCCTTTAGGAGGTGGCCCTGGGGCAGCCACAGGCCGTGAAGTTCTTTCCATCAGAAAAGGAAATTAAACACTTGACAGACATTCTCGGTCTCACTCCCCAGAGAAAGTCACAGTTATGTGTTGGTCTGGTTTATAGTCTTGATAGCTTAGCTTGCTTTCTTTTAGGAATTTCTTCTAATATCTCCTGCGCGTCCTCTACTGACACAGGTCCCTGACAGCCGCCTGGGGTCTGGGGAGCGGGGCCTGTCCTGCCGGCTCTTGCTCCGGGTCAGGTTCCCGTGGGTGCTGGCTGGTTTCAGACTCTGTCTTCTCCTGTATTTCTAGTCTCTAACATAAAAGATGCTGTATTCCCAAGGGGATGAGAAGGCCGTACGGTTTCACAATCCGACACCTCTGCAGGCCAGTCAGGTGTCAGAGTTTCTTTGCTGGTGACCAAATCCATTAGGATGTCAATCAGCCACTGCAGAATCCAGAATTGGGGGGACAGTGGCCCCTCTGAACTGATGAGGAGTCTGAAGACAGACTCCAGGGGCTCAAGGCCCGGGTAACAGCTCCTGGGTCAGCCTCACAGAGGGATGGATGCTGGGGTGGGTGAGGAGCCCAGACCTCTGGGTGGTGGGAGGCAGGGAGCAGAGACCCTCCAGTCTTCCCAGGTTTGGGCTGTGGTCGTGGCCCGACCCCACCTACCTGGTCTGTGGGTGTGTAGTCCACCAGGCTGACACTGTCGATTCTCTCCAGGAAGCTGGAAAAAAAGCAAGACATGCTGGGAATGCCTCTGGGCTGGGAGGCAGGTGCCCATGTTTGGGGGGCCCCCTTGAGCCCAGGGGAACTGGGAAGCCATGGACCAGCAGGTTCATGCTTTATTCCTCAACACACGTCTCCCCAGCAGGTCATGTCCTCATGGTGCTGAGTGGGTGCCAGACCCTTCCCTCCCTCCTTTCTTCCCCTGTGCAAGACTGGGGTCCTTGCAAGGTTGAGCTGGTGGATGGCCGCTGTGCAGGCACATAAAAGGCCAGACTGGCCCAGTAAGACCGAGGTTCAGTGGGAGTCGGGTGTGCACAGGCTGAGCCTGAGTGGGGGGATAGTCTGTTCCCCATGGTCCGATGCATCACCAGTGGAGGGCTGGAGGGAGGGCAGGACACGGCATGTGTGGGTCCTCCCACCCCCCACCCCCATTCACGTCCACCTTCATGCCCACCCCAGCTTTCTCTTCCTACATAGCGCTTACTACCACCTGACAGGTTCTACACATATTTGTCTACTATTTGTCTCTCCCTCTGAATTCAGGACCCACCATTCTGTCCCGTTGGATGGGTTTCCCCAGCACCTGGCTCGGCCCCTGCGTGTCTCTGGGATGAGGCGAGCAGGTGCTATGAGGCCTGGGAGGACACGGGGGGACCTAGGGGATACAGGGGGACCCCGGAAGACATGGAGCTGGTAACCAGTGAGCACAGGACCATGTTCCGGGTGGGAGGAGCAGAGTGTGTGAGGACCAGGAGGGGACTGGCCTGACATTCCTGCTGAATGGCTCAAGTCCACTGCTCTGATGTGGAGTAAAGCCACGGAGGCTTCCCCTCAGCCTGTGTGCTCAGGAGCTTCTGCGCAGTGATGGGTGGGCACCTCCCCATGGCCACAGCAGCCTCCCTGGCCAGCACTGCAGGCCCTGGAGCTGCTTCCTGGAGGAGGGGCTCAGGAGAGGACACCTGATAGCTCAGCCTGGTGTGAAAACCACAGTGGGTTTTGGCCCAGTCCTTGCTGGCCTTGTATCTGGTGCATCAGAGGGCCCTCAAAGTCCACCCTGACCACCTCACGGGGAAGGAACAGGGCAAGAGCCTTGTGTCTGTGATGGAGGGGGAGAGGTGTCTGCACAGTGGTGGTGGGGCTCCGGACCCTGGGGGCTCTGGCAGGGGTGGGAGATGAGCCGCCTCCCTCCCCACTGCGGGGCTGTGATAACTTGAGGCGGTCCTCCTTTTAGCAGGGAAATCTAACATGAACATGTGACAGATGCTGATTCTCTCTGAAAGGGCTGGAAGGAACTGAAAATCAGACCAGGCAGGAAGTCCTTCAGCTCCAGTCAGAGTTTAGGGGGCACCCACTGGATGAGTTTAGGGGGCACACACTGGATGCAGACAGAGAGGAGGTGAGTGAGTCTATTAGATGGCAGTGACTGGTATAAGTAGAAACAATGAAATGTGGTCAACAAAAAAGACATCAAGCCTTCCTGAAAGATCAGAGACCACCATCCCAAGGCGGATGCTGTAGGAGTACCCTCCTGACACAGACATAGGAAAGCTGTCCCTCACACCCCTACTCCTGAGCCCAGGCATGGGTGTTAGTGTTCTTTCATGCATGCGTGCTAAGACGCTTCAGTCGCATCTGACTCTTTGCAACCCTTAGGACCATAGCTGGCCAGGCTCCTCTGTCTGTGGGATTCTTCAGGCAAGAATACTGGAGTGGGTTGCTATGCCCTTCTCCAGAAGATCTTTGAATCCAGGGATTGAACCTGTGACTCCTGTCTCCTGCATTGGCCGGCGGGCTCTTTACCAGTTCCACCTGGGATCTGACAGGCATCAGTGAACATTTTCCAGGCATCTTCTGAACTGTCACTGGTGCAGGATGGTCCTCTGAGTTCACATTTGTGCCACAGAAGCTGCAAATCCCCCCAGATGGCTGAGAGCCTAAGGAGTAAAAACTATAGCAGTCAGTTTCTGCAGGCTTTCCACCTTAATCTTTGGTTCAACTGGTGTATTACCCACATGGTGTAGAAGGACTTCTTAAAATTGGGGCTCCTAAAATAATATATAGAACAGGAATTTTAAAAGAACTTCCCAAATTATGCAGTTTTGTGTGACTAAAATTTTTTATGGTTTTTAAAAAAAGATTTATTTTTGGCTGCACTGGGTCTTCATTGCTGCATACTGGCATTCTCTAGTTGGGGAGAGCAGGGGCTCCTGTTGTGGCACACAGGCTCTAGGTACATGGCATCAGTAGTTTTGGCTCATGGGCTCAGTAGTTACAGCACTTAGTTGCTCCTTAGTGTATGTACCAGGGATTGAACCTATTTCCCCTGCACTGGCAGGCAGATTTTTAACCACTGGACCACCAGGGAAGCCCATGACTAAATTTTAAAGGGTTGACTCCCTAAACACACCACTGCCTGTGATGTGGAAAAATTCACAAGATCCAAGAGTCCCACTTGTAGACCCTTCACTCCCACTAGACACAGAGCTGCAAGACAAAAACAAGTTACTATTGTAGAGTCACTCCCATCACAGTCACTTTAAGAAAAGCAGTTAAAGAGCAATTTACTGTGCTCTTTTAACTGCTTCCTACTACAGCTGAGGATAGTTCTGTTTGCAGTGTTTTTACTCTGGACACTGGGATCCCCTTCTGCTGGATCCTGGCACAAGACAGCCATTCACTGCTCTTTTCTCCTCTGTTGGCCGCCCCACCCCAGTATCTCAGAATCGCAGAGTTCTTCTGGCTGGGGGGTGGGGGTGGGGGGATTGTAAAAACATGAAATTATTCTGTTAAATGCCTTTGAACAACTGGTACCAAAGACATTTAAATAAAATGTACTTAAAATGATTTGTTTTGTGAAGAATGCAGCAGGTCAGAACTCGGACAAATTGAGTAAAGCCTTTTCTCGGTGTGTTATCAAAATTCACTTCAAGATGCTTATTTACTTGATGGAAAAACACTGGAGGAAAGTGTTAACCAGAAGTGACAGCAGCCTGCAGCAGGGCTGAAACCGAGGCTACATAAGTGGTCCTTGACCAGAGCTGGGGCTTGGGAGTTGCAGCCAAGTCACAGTTGGGGTGGACGAGTGACCCTTGTGCCCCCACCCAGGTTGTCCCTGCCCCTCACCTGCAGGGCACACCTGCTGACTCACGTCCTGCTCTTCAGGGAGTGAAGTTCACATTGAATCGGCCTCCACACCTCTGCGATCCACCCCACTTCTTCCCTGTTCCCAGTGGTGTCAAACCTTCCACCCCAGTCAAATCCACATGGAGATTTTCAGCTTTTCAGACCTTTATGTAATCCCCACTTTTTTTTCCCCTTGGCAGCCTCAGATTGAACCCAATCTCTTCTAAGAAGCCAATTCCAGAGAACAGAATCAACAGCCCAGAAACAAACCCATAACATAAGAGACAACTAATTTATGACAAAGGAGCAAAGAATGTACACCGGAGAAAGGATGGTCTCTTTAAGAACTGGTGTTGGGGAAACTGGACGGCTCCATGGAAAATAATCAAACCAGACTGCTACCTCACACCCTACGTAAAAATCAAACTCAAAACAGATTAAAGACTTGAATGTAAGACCTGAAACCACAGAATTCCCAGAAGAAAGCATAGGCCATGTTCTCTAGCACTGGTCTCAGTAATTTTTCTTTCTGGATGTCTCCTCAGGCAGGGGGAAGAAAAGCAAAAATAAACAAAAGGGACTACATCAACCTAAGAAGACTTTGCACAGCGAAGGAGACCACCAGCAAAACAAAAAGACGGCCTACCAGATGGGAGGAGGTATCTGTAAATCATGTGTCTGATAAGGGGTTAATAATCACAATATATAAAGAACTCACAGAACTCAGTAGCTAAAAACAATCCAATTAGAAAATGACACTGTCACTGGGGGGCTCTGGGTGGGGTCAGGAGCAAGAAAACTCAGGGGAGGTCTGAGTTCAAATGGACCCTCAGCCGGGAGCCCACCGAGCTGGGCACCATCCAACGCCCAGGGATGGTAACCCAGACTTACCCGTCCTGCTCCAGATGGAACCTAAGCATCTGGCTGTAGGAAAACGAACCTGGTAAACCAGGCAGGCTGGTTTCATTCCAACCAGCTGATTAAAAGACGACACAGAGGCCTGTTTATCAGTGTGTTTGATGTCCATGGGCTTGAAGCTTGTTGCCAGCAGCACCTGAGGCCCTGAGCTCTGGATTCTGGCTGTGGAAACGCCTCCAGAGGGTGTTGTAGCTGCTGCAGGTGTCTTGCTCATGCTCAACAGGTTGAGGTGGTCTGGCTGACCCCTAGACTATGTTCAGTGAATGGGGTGGTCGGACTGGCGCTTACTTTAGGGGGTGCTTTTCCAAATCAAATATGGCAGGGTGAGCATGTGACACCCCCACCTGAAGGGCACACCAGCACTAAGGCTCCTTTAGGGAGAAGCAGCTTTAGTAAGAAGGGTCTCCAACAGCACACTTCTCATCTGAACTGAAATAAACTGAACAGCTCATAAAGTGAACTTAAAAGTTTATTCTAAACCCATCTGGAAACTGCATTTGAAGGCAGAAAAATACAAAGGCGAAATAAGAGGAGAAATTGTACTAGTGGTTATATGGAAGAGGAACCATTTCCTTGGTTGTGTTTGAGCTGGGCTTAGCCTGGGGCAGTTTCAGTAAGGAGGAATCTTGTTGCCTTGAAGAAACTATTACAGCAAAGAAGTTAACGACCTGGGCTTCTAGAAATGGGCATGCAAACAGAAATTCAGGTGCTAAAACTGAGTCCATAAAAATACTATGTTTTCTGAACCAAATCAACCTCCGAATCATTTTTCCTTAAATAGTTTTGTAAACAGCATGTACACTCATGTGCAATAACATGCAAGTTAAAATGATTTATTTGACAAACTTCTGTGGTTCATATTCCAGCATTTCATCAACTGCAAAAGTGAGGAAATAATTCGTGGGCCTGATATGCTTTTGAAAATATGTATGTTTTATAAAAATGTACATTCATGTAGTTTGAAATGAACATATTTTAAGAAAGGCCAAGCATATATAAGCACTGTTTAATCTCACAAAATATATTAATTTTGTTGGGAATATCTGCATTATAAAAGGGTCCTAAACATACCAAAGGATCAACACCAAGCTATTTTTAAGCTGTAATAATTTTTTCAGTCTGAGGAGGGTTAGGGCTCATTATGTGCTCACATACAGCTGCTTCTGTGCAACATGCAGATGGGAGGAGACACCTAAAGGGACAGGTTCTAGACAGAGGATGTGGGGAGACGACTGGCAGGTGTTGCTCATAGAAGACTCTGGAACAATAGCCAGTCAGACTTAATGACACTTAAATATGAGGGTCAGTTCTCATCTGCACACACCTCTGCATTTTTCCCCCTGCTTAAACACACACATTCATACAGGAGGACATGTTATAGTGGTGAACACTTGGTTCTCAACCATCCGAAGGGCTTGGAAGAGTCCTCTGAATTATTTCCTGAAATACTGGAATTGTCTCATGGAGAAATCTTCCAGTGAAGGGAAGGGGGAATTAAAAATATCCTTAAGTATTTAACTTAGATTAATATGCTTGCTGAGGCAAAAGCAAGTCACTGCTCTCTTTGTTCAAGGATCAGAGAAAGTGGTGGCTACAGGCTCTACATTTTCACTTTTACTTTGCACACCACCGTTCCAGAAAGACGGAAGGCAGCACAGCTGGGCTCTGGACTGAGAGGGTCAAGTCTGCACCTGTCCTTCCCACACTTCCAGACGCTGCATGAGAATGTCATGGATTTGAAAGGCTAAACCAAATATCCCAGCTTGTATCAGTACTCCCAAGATTTTAAAGAGTTGTCGCTTTAAGACAAGATAATAAATGCGAGTAACTAGAACCTAAAATTTTATTTCTAGTTTTGATTAAAATCTAAACAAAACTCGCTCTCACACACAGTCCCAGGGCTTCTCAAACCCATCAACAGTTCTTTGGCAACATTAGAGAAATGTGACTGTCATGCTAACTGGTATATTTTAAAATAAATCTAATCACAGTCTAATGAAATAGGAAAATAACCAGAAATGTGTGAGAGAAATTCACTTGGAAATACCCATCACACATTAAGCCTTGTAAATCTTAAAACCATAAACAAATGATTTTCTCTTATGTTATGTGGAAGTTAGGTAGCATTTTCTTCCAGTTATAGAAAGGCAACTACCACAAGAAATTTATAGGCCATAAAAAGTAAAAGAGTATTACACGAGAAGGTACTAAAGTAATTTCAGTGTAAGTTATGAGAACAGATTAATAGTCAGCTGTAGACTGCATTTGACGGCAACAAACAAAGGATACACAGAATGGCGCTGCCCATGAAATAAGTCGCCGAATGAAGAGTAGATAGCCCTGCAATCGACCTAAGTAATCACCACTCCTCAACTCCAGATATTATCAACTACACAAAATAAAAAGAAAACTGTCAACTTTGATAATTCGGGCAGAAAACTGAATACAAGGGAACTAGAGTTTTGACCAAATTTTTGAGAAAGATTCATACAAGTCGAATTAACTAGATACACTTGATCACAAGCCATACAGAACTTTCAAATCCAGTTAAGAGTTACGAGAAGGCCTGGGAATTCTTCGTGTGTCTGGAGAGCACTGTAAACCCGAAGGGAGAAGCATCTTGAGTAAGAGCAGTTCAGCATTCTAGCCGGTTCCGAGGTTCTAGTGTAGAGTATCCGTCTTCGGAAGGGCGCTTGCGGCCGGCTCGCCTCTGAGCGGTCCCACGGTCACACCTGGTCCCGCAGGCGGGCCAACCTCTGGGACAGTTCGTCCTGCTCGGCCGAGGCCACGCTTGTGCCCACGGAGCCGGTCTGGCCCTGCGGCAGCTCCATGTTGAGGTCGAGGCCGGCCTCGTCTGCCATTTCCTGCAGCAGCATGTCCACCTGGCCTTGGGGAGTGGTCAGCGTCGTCGTGCTGCTCATCGTATCCTCCATCTGCTGCGTCTGAACGTCCAGCGTCTCGAACTGGTGCTCGAACTTGTCCATCAGGGCGGAGATCTTCTCGAGGTTCATGGTCTTCAACGTCGCGTCCATCGACTTAACCACTCCGGCCATCGACTTGGTCACCTTGCCCATCGTCACGGCCGTCTGGACCCTGGCGGCCACTGCGTCCACCCGCGCGCTCATCCTCAAGAAATTCACCGCCTGGTTCTTCTGGCGAATCGCGTTCTCGGCGTGAATCCTCGCAACTTCCATATTGCCCTTCTGAATGGCCTTTTTAATCTTGGCCTTTTCGGCCTTTTCCTCCTTGTCGCATTTTTTGGCACTCCTACCCAGTTCTTTGGCCGCGAACTTTAAGTTGAACAGGTGTTTCTCCATGTTGGACATGTTCGGACGGCTTCGGAGGGTCGGCGGCCACGGTCGAGGAGGAGGCCGGAGGAAGCAGAAAAACAGAGACCGTTCCCCGCCGCCGCTCCTTTGTTTTGGTCTCACTTCCTGTTTCTGCCGCCCTAGGCGCAGGCGGTGACGTCATCTCTCGGCGCCAGGGCGGGGCCCGCGGCTTAGCGGGTGGGGCCGTGAGACGCACGGCGCGGCTCAAGGGACGCACGGCGCCAGGGGCGGGGCCCGTGGGACGCACGGCGAAGGGGGCGGGGTTTCCGGACATGGCCCACTGAGACCAGGAGTCCTGCGGGCTGGATCCTCCAGCGAGGACTGCGGCTGGCCTCGCCGACTAGGGCACTCGCCCTCTGTACCTAGTTCTCGCCAGTTGTTAAAGCACTGAAGCATTAGTAAATTCACAAAAGTGCATGTATGCACACTTTCTTACGCACGGACAGGCTGGAGGCCGGAGGTGTCCAGTTAAAGACTGAAAACCAGGATGCTTTCCCGAGGTCAGCAGACTTTTCCACCTACTCCTGCAACTTCCACCTTCTCAGGGGGAAAGTGGACCGTTAATAATTAAAAGTACAAAACACAGAAAGTTGTGTCACTGACCTGCACCTCATTCTTTGGGGACAGTCTGGCTGCAGCCTGAGACATCCTTTTACTGCAGTGGATGAAAATACTTTCCAGTCCACGGACCACCTCATCTATCCCGTGGCTGAAGGTCAGCTGGTACGTGAATTGCTAATAACGACCATCCAGAAATCTTTCTGAAGTTTAGTAATAAAAGACCCACCTTTTGCTGATAGGATCCTATTTGATATTTTATAAATATCCAAGGAACTTCATTCACATTTAACTTTGACAGGCAAAACTGTCATTTTACATGATGCAGGCAGATGATAGTGAAGTGCTGGGATCCACACCCATTGGCACATATCAAAACTGTCACCATGTATCATACCCTTCAGAAGTGTAGGCTTGGAGGTGGTTGCAGCTGGTGCTGCGGTTTTTTTCTTTTAGGAAGAGTCCTTTGGTACAGCAAGGACAGCATAAAAAGGCCCAACCTGCCCTAAGGAGCTCAGCTGAAAATGGATTCTGAGAGTAACTGTTTGAGATAGTTTTAATCCAGAGGCTCACCACCCCTCTGGGCCCCCTGTGATAGTTGGCCATGGTGGTGCTGGCACGTGCATTTTCCTAAAACACATCTCTGGCTATATCACTCTTGCTCCAACACCTGGGCAGAAAGGCATGTGTAGACACGGTCCCCACCCTCTTCTTTCTCTCCACACATAGCCAAGTCAGACTGAGCTTGAAGGCTGAACACCACTGTGTCATTTGTCAGTGTGGATGGGAAGGGGTGGTCACTTGTCAGTGTAGATGAGGAGGGGTGGTCACTTGTCAGTGTAGATGAGGAGGGGTGGTCACTTCTCACTTTGGATGAATCGTCTCTGTGGACACTGTCCCTGCTGTGTGGGCTTCCACCCCGTACATCTCCTTCTGCTGAGATCCTGCCCCCGCCTCACACTGCTCCTCCAGAACCTTCTCCAGGAGCCCCTCTGTGCTGCACTCTCCACTCTGCACAGCATACACAGCAGACCTCCTGGCACGGGTCTGGGGACCTATAATATCATGAACCACATGGAGGCAGAGAACAGCCTTGTTCCTTTCCCCGCTGTGGATCCCAGAACATGCTCTGCACACAGCACACACTGAACCCCAGTGATGCTTTGCTTAGTTGAATTTGACTGAGAGGGGCTAGGATGTTACCCTCGTCAACAGCTTAGCTAAGATTTTCTCTCCCTAAAGTAGCACTCTTTCTTCACATGAGACGTTTCTAGAAGGTGGCTCAGATGGTAAGGAATCTGCCTGTAATATGGGAGACCAGGGTTTGATTCCTGGGTGGGGAAGATCCCCTGGAGAAGGAAATGGCAACCCACTCCAGTATTCTTGCCTGGAGAATCCCATGGACAGAGGAGCTTGACAGTACAGTCCACGGGGTTGCAGAGAGTCAGATATGACTGAGCAACTAACGCTAACACAGCTGTGAATCACTTCACTTTTCCCACTATTCTTTTTTCTTTGGGGGGCATCTTTCTTCCAGAGTATTCTAAAACCAATTATGTACATGGACGTGTCTGAAAGGTATCATGTAAACACAACAGTGCAAAGCATGAGACCCTATGTACACTGCAGAGTTTCAAGTTAGATTAAGCGAAGTCTGACTTTATAAACCTGTTCTGAAATCCAATTTTCTTTGATTTCCTTTCTCCCAAAATAGCTGTTTCCATGGCTACCTAATCACTTATTATTAGCACTTAGAGGAAGTGCATTTTTGGGGATAATGCAGTAGAGATTGTTTTTAATTTTCACAGTGGGCACCGGGGACCTCTTATAAAACAGAATCTCTGCTAATTCGCTCAGCTTGCTTGATACTCCAAAGACACTCATTTTTACTGACAGGCCAACCCTTAAAGCTCATAATATGCTTATTCCCAGGCTGCTCCAGCCGGGTCCTCTGTCAGATGGTGCAGGGCCCACCCATTTCGAACCACTCTCAATTTCCCCTCCCCAGCTGCCGGCAACCACTAATCTGCTTTCTGTGTCTATGAGCTTGCCTGTTCTGGCCATTTCATACAAATGGAGTCATAGGGCATGTAGCCCTTGTGCCAGGGTTCTTTCACTGAGCCTCATGTCTTCAAGTTCACTCACGCTATAACATGCGTCAGAGCTTCATTCGATTTTATGGCCAAATAAGATCCCTGTGTGTGGCTGGACCAAGTCTGTTTATCCCTTCATCCTTTCATGCACATGTGGGTTGTCTGTGCTTTTGGCTACTGTGGATGATGCTGCTGTGAACATTTGGGCACAGTTTTTGTGTGGACGTATGTTTTTAAATCTCCTGGGTGTACCCGAGAGAGAAATGCTGGGTTCCTCCATGTTTTAAGTTTCTGAGGAACTGTGGTGAGACCATTCTTGGATTCTTCACTGGAAGTTCAGGTCCCCAGGAAGCATCTCCTCCCTTCAAATATTCCCATGGTTTCTGTCATGGAAGAAATGACTTAAAATGAATCCCTTCTTAGTTAGCATCTGGGTTCAAAATACAAGACTGCTGAACAGATAACGTAGTGACTTGGAGTCACGCCAAGATGTCAGCAGATCTTTTCTCGAGAATTCAGAAGAGAAGGGAAAAGAAGATGCCTCAGAACCCTGGACTCTGCCAGGGCAAAGCTCAGTTCCCCACCAACCCCATGCTGGGCCCTGGGCTCCTGATTTCAAACAGCCCTGACTTCATGCAAAGACACCCTCCCAGGAATTGAGCCTCCAAGGAGGAACAAGACACATTCTCCAAGCAGCTGGAAACCTGGGGGTTGGGCAGGCGGGCTTGAGTGTCCCGGTCCCAGGACATTCCCAGCTGGACGCTGGAATGTCCTTTCTTCCATGAACCACGGTGATGGGAGGTAGAAGCAGCTACTTTCCTTCAACATGTCATTTGGCAACATAAACACATTGGGTACCANTCTCGAAACACGTCCATTCACAGGCAACTCGCTAGCTGGGCAACAGCTATCCATCTCTGATAAATTACTGTTGGGAAGGTGGGCTGTGGGTTCACATTACATCTGGGCTGGCATCGGGAACCTTCTTAACTAAAGAAGACCCAGCTGAGAATATTCCTTTTTGTTGTCCCTGTTGGAAATTCCAAGCCCTCCAGCTAGTTTGAGGAAAACTTCCTGTATTAATTGTAATACCAAATTTTCAGCCCCACATGCAATGGGCTGACTAGGATTTGAGAAAAAGAAGGTATTTGTTTTTTTCGTTTGTTTTTAAAACACTTTAATAAATAAATAAATAAATAAAAAGAAAAGAAAAAAAAAAAGAGACAACGGTTGCTGATCCCACTTGAGTCACATGCATATTAAAATGGATTAAGGAAGCCAAGCTGGGGATGTTAGGATTAACCCAGATAGTGATGTTTGGGGGGTGGTGGGGGGCAGAGTCCAGAACAGGAGTCGCGGTGTTGATGTCTGACAAGCCTGCAGTCTTCACCTTGGGTCTCAGTGTCGCTCTCCCTAATTTGAAAGGAGAGAACTGAAGGAAATAGCAGATCGTGGCTGGGGTCCTTCCGGGTGGGAGTGCTGATCTCAGGCCCCTCAGGGGACCCCCTGAACCTCTGTCCCACATGGAGACACGGTAGCAGGAGCTCAGCAAGGGCCCCCAGGTGCCAGGCATGCTCTGAGGTGTTTGGGTCTCTGCTTAGTCAATCCTACAACAACTGCACGAGAACACAGTCCGTGACTTTATTTCCATGAAGCACCCTGCCCAAGAGAACATCTGGATCCTGACTGCCTGCCAGCAAAGCTCAGGCTGCTTCTTTTTGTCATATGTGCCTTGCATATTCTATTTTAAAGTAAATCATTAATTCTATCACTACGGTGATGGGCTCTTTTCATAAGAAAGAGAAATTCCTAAAGGGATACTGAAGGGCGCTGAAGGCCCAGGAGACTTCACTCAAGAAATGCTGGAAATGGCGATCAGACATACCCCCATGAACCTCAGATGCAAACTTATATAGGTTTTTGGTTTTTTTTACTTATGTAGGTTTTAATGTTATTTTGAGCTGTGCTGGGAATTCCAGCTGCTGGCATTTTCTTAATATGACATTCCCATCTCTACAACATTGTGATTTAACATATAATTCCACTGTGGTTTTTAAGTGATGGTGACATGGCCTTAGAAAAGAGCATGAGAGGGTCTCAGAGGGGAGATGAGGGCCCCTCTGGAAGGGGTGGCCCCCACGACCCTCTCAGGTTGTGTTCAGCTCCACCAGAACTGTCCCCCACACCACACCCACACCCACATCTAAACCCCCCAGCTCTCTGGACTTCGAAATCCGGCTGTGGAATAAGTGAGCACAGGAAAGCAGTCACAAATGTGAACCAAGAGCCTGTGTTCTATTTACAAGGTGATGTGGATTCAAGGCAAGTCTTGAAGGAACTGTTAAGCATGGCAGGAAAAGAGAAGTTTTAAGTACTGCTCTAGTTAATTAGCAAAGAGTCAGAGGCGACTGAGCATGCACAACTAGTTAACTATAGATCCTTATCAGTAAATAGACTTTCTCGTACAAAAGGGAAGATCATTAATGCTGTTGGTGGTCATTCAGGGCGCCTGGGGCAGGTGTGTGGGCACCTCTGGCTAACTTGGCCCTGCTGGACAGCCCCAGAGGCTCCCTGAATTGGGGCAGCTTGCCACCTGCCAGTAGCTGAGGGGGTGTGGCTGGCTCCCTGGCACAAGGGGGATGAGGTGAAGTAAGGTCCCATCAGCACCATCTGTCTCTGTCTTGGCCTCGAGGACTGCCTGCCTCCTGGGAGGATCCCCTCTCTTCCCACTCCTCCATCCTCTGCAGACTGAACATCATTGCTTAGCACCTCTCCTCTGTCTATACTTGCTCATCTTGTCCAGGCTCTACAGTCATCAGTGGGCAGGCACCGTCCACACCTGGGTTGCTTCTTCTCATCTAACACCAGCTCCTACATCCAGCCGCTTGCTCCATCTCTGTCTCTGCTCTGGTATCTCAGCCTGGCTTCTCCAAACTGGAGCTGGATGGCATCCTGTCCTCCACTAACGACATCTCCCAGGTCTCCACCTGAATAATAGCATCATGACGCACCTGTGGTCATCCTGACCCCCTCTTTTCTCCACCCCTCTCATCTGATCTGCTGCCTGGCTCTGTCCCCATGGACCAAGGCTCACCTCTAAGCCCACCACCTGCCCCGAAGCACCCACAGATCTCTGTTGCCTCCATTCCACCCTCTGAGCAGCAGCCAGAATGACCTGACAGTCTGGGTCATCACATATCCAGGTGATGCTACTTGCTGCACGGGGTGGGAAAGCTGGACTCCGAGGGGCAGTGCGGTGGGAGCGCCCACCCCAGGCCAGGCCTCGTGGGCAGACTCACTATTGGGCGCAGTCGATGAGCTGGTACTCGTTGGACCGTTCGAAGCAGGCCTTCACGCCTTCATCATCCCAGAGCTTCTTCACATGATCGAAGAATTCCTGAAATTTGAAAAAGTTATGGGTAAGAAAACATGTGCTACCCATCTTCCAAAAGTTAAAAGGAAAAAGAAAATGCCAAAACCATCTGCAGGGTAGGTCGGCTCCGCACAGGGTGGAAGGCCTCATTCCTCAATCTACGTCAAACACTCTCATAGTCCCAGAGAGTTCCCAAAGCGGAAGTGACAAGTCCAAAATTTATGACATTCATCAACTATCCATACCACTAAGAGTCTACAGTTCTTAAGACTCAGTGACTTGACTAGCAGAGTGGCCACTTCAGCCATGAAAAAACACACTTGTTATAATGGCAAGGTCTGTTTCAGCTGCTTCCCTGGTGGCTCAAATGGTAAAGAATCTGCCTGTAATGCAGGAGCTCTGGATTTGATCCCTGGGTTGGGAGGTTCCCCTAGAGAAGGAAATGGCAACCCACTCCAGTATTCTTGCCTGGAGAATTTCATGGACAGAGGAGCCTGGCGAGCTACAGTCTATGGGGTTGCAAAGAGTCAGACACGACTGAGTGACCAACACTTTCACTTTTAATTTTCTAGGTGAGAATGAAGCCACGATCATGAACAGAGACGACTGACCAGGTGAGTTATGTTCTGCCCAGAAGCATTAGGTACATGAGAAAGAAACTTTTAAAATTACAATCTTTGGGGATAGTGATTTATTGTCTTCTGGTCTTTTAAGAAACTCTGAGGTAAGCATGAACCGGGAATTTTCATTCAAGCCCATCCATTATGGCACCAGCAGCCTCTGAAGCGGGAAGCTGGCCGCCTGGGTAAAGGTGACTTTGTGAACCTGTATTTCCAAAATTACCCATTTTAAATGAGCAGCGCTATGGCAGCAAATGACTATACATTAGCAGCTAAATATAAAAGAACTTATGTAAATGTTCAAGAAACTCTTTGTTAGAATATTTATATCCCTTCCCACGCCAGGAAGCACTGACTTCCACCTTCGATCTGCAGGGGAGGGTCTGGGGCAAACCCTCCAGGAAGCAGCTGAGGCCACTCTCCCTAAGAATCAGCACAGGTTCTTTGCAGGAAAAAAAAAAAACACCTGAGTTGGCACATTTTTTAGAGATTCACAGTTCCATACAAGGGTGGATCCCAGTTCTGAGGGGCCTGACACTTTTACAAGTTTTAGGCCCACTACGAAAAGGGAAACACAGAATTACAGGTACAAATTAGGTCCAGAACCCAGGAAGGGAAGTGGGGGCCCTGTGTGCAAGCATCACCAGATTCCAGTATGTCTCATTCTGACTCCTAATATCAGGAACAATGTTTAAGCTTACGCCATGAGTCTCTGTGTCGATCATGTCTGCCTGCCTGTTGGCATCAACAAGTCCATACTGTCCACAGGGGACAGGAGTGGATAGCGTCCATGCAAAGGAGAGGAGCTGGACCCTCGGCTTTTATCCTGCCCCCTGAACTGATGCTTCCTTGTGGAACCTTCCAGGGCTGCTCCCATCTCTCCAGAGAAGGGGTCTGTCTGTGGGCTTCCTTAAAAACTTCTTTGTAAGAGCCAAACAAGGACACACACACACACACACACACACACACACACACACACACACACTTAAAGAGAAATGCTCTCTTGTGCTATCATCTGCCAGTCCTGGCAGGCAGTGATGCCACTGTCTCGGTGATGCTGGAATTTGAGTGCCCCCTTTCCCCCACTGCAACCTCTCGTGCAGTGGTCCTGGAACAAAGTCCCTTCCTGTCTTTAACAAGGATCAGCATTAAAAGCAGGATTAATTATAAAAACAAAGTATGGCAGAAGAGAACTAGGAGCAGGAAAGCGAGTGATGTGAAGCACACTGAAGTAGGTGCCCAGACATTAGGCAAGGTCTACACACAAGCTTGGACCTGTGCCCAGACAGGGTTTCTGAGCTTCTGTGCCATCAACCCAGTGATGTAAGTGAAGTTTTTCTTTAATAGTCTGAGCAGAAGCCTTGGAGACAGAGTCACAAAGGGGTGCTCGGCCCAAGGAACAAAATGCACGGCTCTTGGGGTGATGCTGATGACAGCAGAGAGGTAGGAACCGGGTTGCTGTGACCTTACAGCAGACGCTGTGGACGACACCAAGACAGGGGCAATTTCAATCTGCTTCATCTTCCTCCTTGGGGAACAAGACCTTAGGCAAGACCAAGGCCAGATGCCCAGGAGTCTCCACATTTACTCTTTAAGGAGTTCTCAGACCTTTGTGGAAAATTCCAGGGTGGCTGTGTCTTATTTACCTTTTCATCAGGGAAAATGTCACACAGAAGCAGAGAGACTGCCTCCGAGCACTCACTACCCATGGGCAGATTCCACACTCATCGTGTGGCCGCTCTCTTTATCTGTATCTCAGGCCTTCTCTCCCACCTTTATTATTTTATAGCAGCTCTCTTACACCACTGTTTTATTTCAACATTATTTCTAAAAGATAAAGGTTTAGAAATCATAGCCACAATGTGCGTGCGTGCTAAGTTGATTCAGTTGTGTCCGAGACTTTGCTAAGTTGATTCAGTTGTGTCCGACTCTTTGCGACCCCATAGGCCATAGCCCACCAAGCTCCTCTGTCCATGGGATTCTCCAGGCAAGAATACTGGAGTGGGTTGCCATGCCCTCCTTCAGGGGTATAGCCACAATACCACAAGCACAAATAAAAATATACAAACCAGTAAAGAAACAATTCTGTGACATCATGAACCACTGCAGCTTCTTGAGCTGCAAGCAAACATTTGTCCATAGCCTGGCTAGAATCCTGCTATATTTGCTAAGACAACTGGGAAGTAAATATGAGGAATAACTTTAGTCTGTCTCCCTTAGCAACTAAAATGAACAATACTAAATAAAAATAATTTCAGTGTTGTGTGTGTGTGTATCTAAAAAGAAAGGGTGATTCACAGTGAAGTGTCACTTGTTTTTGACATCTGGGAGTTGAGAGAAACTGAGAGAATAAAGAGAAAATTACTAAGTCATACTTCCTATTTTTTCTGTATTACAGAATATGAGAATCACCTTGTGATCTTCACATATTTAGCAACTGAAATACATGGAGATTTATGTTACTCTTATTCAAAGAAGTTTGAGTTGTATTACAGAAAATAAAAATGATAATGATACCAAATTAAACCTAAAGTAAGGCTTTAAATTGTTACAGCATAATCTTGATGTTGAAATCAAAATTTAAACTAAAAATATTAAATACCCAACTTCTCCATTTCCTAGCACAACACTTGCCTTATGGTTCTGCTGTTTACACCTCTCTGTAGATATAACATATACTCAAAGCTAGCTTGGAATTCTCAGGGGAGTAAATTTTTCTTTTTCCTTTTAAATTCTTCATTACTGCTTTAAAATAGAAATAGACGTATGCCAATAAGAAATGTAAAAAAATCCTTGCATGATTTTTCTCCTAATACAATAAAACACCTTTTTGGTTACACTAACTCTTCAAATACATTTTTCATTTTGGAAATAAAAATCAAATCAAAAATATTTCTTGTCTGGTGAGCTGAATGTGGTCCAGGGGTCTGGAGGGCACCCGGGTCTCAAGTGGGGCTGCTCCCACACTCCATGCCCTGTCCTGAGGCTGGTGGAAACCTTCTATGGGTGGAGTGAAAAATGTTATTCCTAGGATGACTTATGGAAAAGATCCCTCTTTAATTTTAGTGTCAGGAATCGTTTTTTGCATCTCTCGCTCGGGCAATTGCTCTTTCAATTTTATTATTAATTTTTAATCCTCTGGGATCCTGTGACTCTTCTTCACTTACATCACTCAGTTGATGGCACAGAAGCTCAGAAACCCTGTCTGGGCACGGGTCCGAGCTTGTGTGTAGACCTCGCCTTATGCTCTGGGCACCTACTTCAATCTGCTTCACATCACTTACTTTCCTTCTCCTAGTTCCCTTCTGCCATACTTCGTTTTTTTAATTAATTTGTGTTATAACCTTGTGAGTGGCACCAAACCCTTTATGGATCTTGTTAAGCAAAAGTGAAAGTTGCTCAGTTGTGTCCGACTCTTTGTGACTCTTTGTGAATTCTCCAGCCCGGATAACTGGAGTGGGTAGCCTTTCCTTTCTCCAGGGGATCCTCCCAACCCAGGGGTCGAACCCAGGTCTCCTGCATTACAGGCAGATTCTTTACCAGCTGAGCCACAAGGGAAGCCCACGTTGAAGCAAAATAAATGATTAAAGGAACCGTCCCGGGTAACGGAGTGGACAGTGATCATCACACCATCAAGTGGGCCTTAGAAACAGGCAGTTTGTTTCAGGTGAGTAGCCGTTTAAATGGAATTTTCTGAAGCTCAAGTTTGAGTCTGATCCATCTAAAATGCACCTACTTAGTTTTACCCCTCAGAAAGCATGGTGATCTAATAGGCTCCTGTCATTTCTCTCTTCAGATATCTGGTGGATGTCAAGTTGAAAGTATGTGTGGGATCCGTCATGCCTGGTTATTTATAATTTCTGTCCATCCTCAGGTCTAAGTGAATACAGGATACCTCAAATTCTATTTAGAAACAGCGTTCAGAAACCATGCTAAAGGGGACTTCCCTGATGGTTCAGTGGTTAAGAATCTGCCTTCCAATGCAGGGGATGCAGGTTCAAGCCCTTGTCGGGGAGTTAAATCTCACACGCTGCGGGGCAACTAAGCCCATGCTCCACAACTAGGGAAAGCCCACGTGTTGCAATGAAGACCCAGAAAAAAACCAAAGTATTAACAGTAATCGGGGGTCCCCAAGCTTGTGTGTCTCCTAGCATGAAACACGGCCTCTGTGGGCATAAAACCACAGCAAGAAACCAAACATAAGGTGGGGTCACCTGGCCCCTCCTGGGGCCTCATGTGTCCCAGGCAAGGTTCTCGGGGTCTCCTGGCCGAGGGCTCATTTCGAGTCTCAAGTGTCCTGCTGTGCAGGTGATGCAGCTCCTGTTCTACAGATGACAAAATGGGGAGGATCGCGGATCCTTCGCACTTGTCCGAGCCCCATGACGAGGAGGTGTCTGCCTGCAT